ACGAAGATGGTCTTGATCTCTTGACCTCATGATCCACCCGCCTCGGCCTCCCAAAGTGCCAGTATAATTTTTTAAAGTTAAACAAAAATAAAAATGTAAACCCCATGAGCTTTCCCTCACCTTTTCACCCTTCCTCTCTCTTATTAGTTTACTTAGTATATAAATCACACTAACCAATTTAAAGAGTTTGGTTTAAACATTTATGCATGGCTTGACAAACTCTACATAATTCCTGCTATTTAATACCATTTCCATCTTATTTATTTTAAAAGCTGGATAAGATAGAATTATTTATTATAAAACATTTCAGAGATTAAAAGGCCATAAATAATTGGAAAAAAGGGAAGAGTTTTACATTAGACAAGAATTATTGGTTCTTTCTAATCAAGGGCAATCTGTTAGCATTAAGAAAGAGAATGGGGAAAGACAGTTGCGGTTTTCAAAATATAAAACAGTATCCAAACTCATGGAATATTAAGTCTCTACAAAGTGTTAAGAACAATTTTCAGTCACTTTTCATAGATAGGGTCCCAGTCTTATTTACCTAGAACTAGGTTAAAAAAGTGCCTACCAGGAAATAATGCACTCAATAATTATTTTTTTCAAATGTGATATAATTACTTATTACTTATGGTGATCTATATTTTTAAATTTTTAAATATTTTATCCCATTTCCCACTTAGGAAAAGAAAAGTACAGCTCACTGCCAGTGCAGTATTCTTGGTGCAAATGGGAAATGGGTGAATACCGTCTAAATAAGTGTGTCTGGTTCAATTCAGCTCCTTCGCTGCCAAACCAGGAGTCAAGGACTGCTTCAGTTTTTCTGCCATCTCCTTGTCTCTGATGATGAATGTGTAAGTTACCTTCTGCAACAAACTGTAAACTTCATACTGTTCTTATTGATCTATTTTTTAAATTAAGAAATTACAGTACAAGGGGATAAAGTTTCTCATTCAAGAGCTGACACTTCTGGGGGTTCCCATTCACATCTGCCTGGTTCTGGGACTCATTATTTCAGCCCAAGACTCCACACCTCTTCCAGGAGAGGGGACAGTAGTCATATCTCTAAATTATTTAGCTATGGTGGCTTACAATCCCACTTTCAGAATGCTACATAGGCCCGGGCCTAGTACTTGATCAGTGGTTCTCCATGTGAAGAAATTTTGTCCTCCATTTTGGCAAGGTCTGAGATACTGTTAGCAGATAGCAGGAAGAGGCCATGGAGGTTGTTAAACATACCTACAATTCACACCCCTCCACCACACAACAAACTATGTAGTCCAAAATGTCAACAGTGTCAAGGTTGAGAAATTTTGTACTAGATGATTACAATTTGGTGGAACATTGTCCTCATGTGTAAACTAGCACCAAGAGTGAAAGCAGGAAGAGCCAGAATCTCCCAGGCTTGCTTTCTCCCCTCCCCTCCCCTCCCCTTTCTTCTCTTCTCTTCTCCTCTTCTTCTCTCTCCCCTCTCTTCTCTTCTCTTATCCTCTTCTTCTCTCTCCCCTCTCTTCTCTTCTCTTATCCTCTTCTTCCCCCCCACTGCCTCTCTCCCTCTTTCTTTCTTTCTGATGGAGTATTGCTGTCACCCAGGCTGGAGTGCAGTGCTGTGATCTCAGCTCACTGCAACCTCTACCTCCCAGGTTCAGGTGCTTCTCCTGCCTCAGCCTCCCAAGTAGCTGGGACTACAGATGCCCACCACCACATCGGGTTAATTTTTCTATTTTTAGCAGAGATGGGGTTTTACCATATTGGCCAGGCTGGTCTTGAACTCCTAACCTTGTGATCCACCCGCCTCAGCCTCCCAAAGTGCTGGGATTACAGGCCTGAGCCACTGTGCCCAGCCATCTCCCAGGTTTATACAAGGAGTTGTGGATACTGTAAATCTCCCCAGCACACCACTGTTATCTTCAGCTGTCTCAAGAGAAGTACCTGATTTTGCAAGCTGCAATGGAGACAGGGGTACATAAGGTTGACAAGTATTTAATTCCCAGTGAACCTGAGTATGTTTCAAGTCGTAGTCTACAGGTGTGCAAGAAGAAACTGCTGGCTTTCCTGGATTCATGGAGATCTTAGATCTTCTACCAGCTTCTACCAAGGTAAATAAAACTATTACGTATTTAGGCAATTTTTAATTACCTCACATCTTTACTTTCTAGTATCTAAAATTTAATAAGAATTGCTACAGAAAAAACACCCACCCAAAACAAAGGAGATTAACAGAGACTATGAAAGGTTTCCATCATTGCTGTCCTTACCACCCTCTGCCCCTACCTGCCCCACCCTCTCCATGGTCTTACTTGGTAGATTATTAATTCAATGATGGAGTTGGGAAAGTCACAGGGTACATTCTAAACCAAGAAGGAGCGATTTGGTCATTAACTTTTTAGTAGTAATAACAATAAAGGAAAAGGTAATCATTTTTAAAAAGTATTAGGAACAACAGAGAGAAATAGTGAAACATACATTTGTGAAGTTCACCATCAAAATTTAATTTTCCTGTGACAAGGAGCTTCAAAGTAGTGGATAAGTCAAAGAGACCTGCCTAAACAGAACAAGTCGTCACATTTGTAAGGTCTATGAAAAGGACACTGTAATCCACTCCTAGGGTGGCTTCACTCTGCAACTGAAACTCCAATGGATGCATGGATCCATTAAACAGAAAGGCAAGTAGAAACATTCAGTTTGCTGTAGCGAGGGAATCCAGAAATTATAACTGAAGTGACAAAAGCTATGCATGGCACTTCTTAGCTCCCACTTCAGGACTTCTGTTGAGATTTAAGTCCTGAAGATTTCCATGAATTAGAAACAAAAATAAACACTTCATATTATGGAGGTCTGGATGAGAATTAACCATGGGACTGATTCATCTTCCCCCAACTTAAACTAAAATGTGGGTTCCCCCAACTTAAACTAAAATGTAGACATGAAAATATATGAAGCAGTAATTGCCACAAAAAATGTCCTAACATCTACACAAAAAATCTATTGTCATTAACACAGTATAATACAATGCCTCCAAGAAAATCTTTGGTTGAGTCATAATTAGTTCAAGAAAGAAAACTAAGTATTTCAGGCTATTTGCTACCCAGAGATAAACAAGTAATGGACACTATACAATACAATATAATAGAATCCCACAAGTGACCTACTTTTAAAAGCTCACAAAAACCACTTGAAGTGGTATAAAAAAGTCAAAGAGAGGAACTGTTTTAGCATTAAAGTTTTTTCCTGGGTTTAAAACCAACAGTAAAATAATTACATGTGTGGGATTGCTTAAATTATTCTACAAGAGTCCTTGGTGTGGATAGTCCCATTAAAGATAACACGATTGAAAAAAACACAAATTTCTTATATTATAAACAATACATTTTCCCAGAGAAAAAGTGATATATATGATAGGTAATTTTTTCTGATAGATGATGCAACTCTACACAACCCACAATGTGACTGAAAATTTCTGCGCTTTGTTTTCCTCTGCTAGAAATACAAGAAAGGGCCTGAATCTCTTAGGTATTATTCAGCTGTGAAATTCTAATTCTAGGACTTCAATTTTAACAAAGCTTCAGAAATCTACACTGCTTCTATTGAATATTTAAAAATAATAACAAAAGACACACATTTTCTCCCCATTCTCCTCGATATCCCTGAAGTTTCCAGGAGATACTGTGGGGGCTGCAGGCACAGGTGAAGGAATATATTACATTAATGCAAAACAAGTTATGTTTAATGTCTGTGTTAACATGGGTTTGTGTCTAAGACAGGGAAAAGCTATTAGCAAATTCATTAACAAAAAGCCTATTATTTTTCACATTAACATATAATTTATTAAAATAAGACAACTCTTCTGATGAGAATTATCATTCTAGGTAATAATCAGCCAGAAGGTGCACCCATGCTTAGAATTTAATTTTGTTTACTGAGAATTCATGCTAGAAAGCTTGCTGAGTGTATTTGTCCTTGGCAGGTGTGTTTAACCAAAAGGTCTACCTAGATGAAGATGCATGGTTCTGTAACTATTGAAAATGAACTTCAAGGACTTTATAAAGACATTTTTATTCTACCACATATATAAAAGAAAAGCATTTAATTGTTTCCTAAAAAGAATATTCCCTAATTATTTTTATTATGAAGACATCCTCAGTGATACTGCTGAAGAATTTCTATGCCACTATCCCTCCTATGCTAGACCACCACATAACCAATAAGATATCTTCTTTGATGATTTAAAAATATAATTTTTTTCTAGGGGTATACAGCCCCTTGAACCTATCCAGAGTATCACATTTCTTATGCTGCTGAGCTACAGATATTTCCTCCATAAGGCCAACAAATCTTTCATTCCCTAGAATTGTAAGCACTTGAAAAATTATAATCCTGCCTCTTTATTGCACTTAAGAGGCGTTTGGATCTGCTCCACAGTATTCCTTTATCCTCAATGGAAGGGCACTTCTAATTACTGGTATTTGAGAATATCAAATTCTTCTTTCATTTAAAAATCAACTGGGTAGAAAGTTATGAAAGCAGTTCAGGACACAGTATCTATGATAACTCCATATTTGTTATATTAAAACCACCTTTTAGCAGAAAGCCACTTTAAATAACATCCTTTGGGAGGCCAAGGCAGGCGGATCACCTGAGGATGCGAGTTCGAGACCAGCCTGACCAACATGGAGAAACTCCGCCTCTACGAAAAACAACGGGCATGGTGGTGCATGCCAGTAACCCCTGCTAACTTGGGAGGCTGAGGCACGAGAATCACTTGAACCTGGGAAGTGGAGGTTGCGGTGAGCAGAGATCACACCATTGCACTCCAGCCTAGGCAACAAGAGTGAAACTCTATCTCAGATAAATAAATTAATTCCTTCTAGAATTCTAAAATCTACAATGCAAAGAAAGCTCTTATTCGAGAAGAAAATTAAGTATTTTAAGATAAAGAATCTCAAAATGCAATCCAAATCTAGCAAACCCACAGACTTTCTATCGTAGCCCATACTCACCTCTCCCGGGGAACAGCAAACCAGTACTCTGGCTGCTTTCTTCGTTTGCCGTACTGCTGGACCATGGCTGCAGTGTGAGTGGCAAAGGATTTTCTCATTGGTTTTCCCACTTTGATGCACAGGAACATGGGTGGGGTCTTGCTTTTTTCTTCTTTTGAAGGAAGTATATCTGAATCACACATGAAACAACTCTTCCTCAATACTGACAATATTGGTAATAGCAGAACTTTTCAACTTAAAATGAATAGTGATCCTCTCTTGGTCAAAACATTGCAGAAACATACTAAAACTACATAATATCAGGACTAATACATTTTTCAAGTCTTCTTTAGCACAAAAAGGCAAAGCCTTGGCTGTTTCAGGCTGAATTACATCCCATGAGTTGCTACATACTGAAAATACGTATAAAAACCAACAGAATAGCAAATAATGGAGAATTGGGAGAATTCACAGGAATACATGTTAATGAATGCTACAGAGAACCAGTTATAATGCAATTCAGTTTAGAATTGAGATCTCTTCAAAAACAGTTTAAGCTCCTCTAGATTTAGAAAATAATGGTAAAAAAGAAAAATAACTTGAAAGATTAAAGGTATACTACTTTTGAAGTAAGTATCTAGAGATCTGTCATAGTTCAAGTTCCAAAATAGATATCACACCTTATAAATGTTCTTGCCAATTATTATTTTTAGCAGCAAAGATAAACTCTGTTGAGAAAACATTGTTTTCAAATAACTGTACCAATTTGGGTATTACATGTGCAAATTTTAGAAACACAATCATGCAACAGAATATAAAGGCATTAATGAAAAACAGCTTACCTTCAATGGGCACCTGAATTCTCTTTAACAGCCACAACTGAACTTCAGATTTATTATCCATTTGTGCACCTTGACAGCTGTTGTCCAGAGTAGATTTCAATGAGGGGTCTAGAGCCTCTTTAATCACATTTTCTTCTGTAGAAGAGTTTAGTTTTACCAGGAGGGGCTCTCTCTCTTTCACCCAGGTCTTATCTGGCTCTTTATTGCCCTCAGTTAGGAGATTACCTGTCTGAGAAAGAGAACTACTAAGGGTAATGTCTATTCCCCCTGGTTCAAAACTTTTTCCATCACTTAATTCTGTTTTCTGCAAATTTTCAGATACCTGTGACCCTTCTTTGCTTTTATTTAGGTAATATTCAATGAGTTTAACTTTATCTAGATCTTCATGTATGTTCAGTGTGTTTTCTACTTGGCTTTCTGGTGAACCAGACTGCTTGTCCACTTCTGGCATTATATCTTGCTTTTCACAGGTTTCTAAATCTAGTGCTCTTTTCAGTTCAACATCATTCTCTGTTCCCAAAAAGTGTAGGGCTGACTGCACCTGCATTTCCATGGCAGAATTATTAATTTGTAACTCAGCCTTCTTTCGTTCTTCTGGGTCAAGAGAAAGGCACTCCTTCAAGGTGTCTTTTTTGTCCATTCCACCATCAGTCTGAGAAGAAAGTTCTTCCAAGTCAACAAAGTCCTCATCTTCCCCTAGAAAGGAGTTTTCTTTGGCTGTAAGTTCAAATGCAGCAGAAGTGTCGGAAGGCTCCTTGCTGAGCATAGTCACTGTGGGAGAGCTACTGGATGTCTCCCTAGAGGATTCTAGTTTCTTTAATTTCTCTGACACAGAGCCACCTGAGGGCTTTGTAGGTGTAGGTTCTGTGGACTTCTCCAAAGGTCCTGTTGGTTTGGGATCCAAAGTCATGCTTCTTTCTCCATTCTGCTGTCGTTTTTCCTTATTGATAGATTTGAACTTACTGAATGGGTTGATATCCTTTTCTGATGCCAGGTCTTCCCATTCTCCAGGCCTGTACAGAGGACAAAGATCCTGAGGTAGGTCACTGTTGGGGGAGAAATGGTGGGTGCACATGGAATGTTAAAAATAAAACCAAAAACAAAATGGAGGAAAGGCAAAAAACAAAACAGAAACCCAACCAAAAATCAACACATAAATATGCCACAACTTAAATCTATGCTTAAATGATTTCAGAATAAAAAAAATAAAATCAAGAAATTGATTTCAAAATGAAACATAAGCCAACTAAAGGAAATGGTGAAAGAATGAACCATGAGAGATGGATGTCCTACTGGAAGCACATGATGGATTTGGAAGTTACACATGAACATGAAGATGCCACTCATAAGAATTCTAAATATGAAATAATGTTTCTGACTTTCATGAAGGAAAGGATGAAGGGGAGGAAATATTTTAGTACCAATGTCTAAAATTCCTTAAACATGCAACTTTTCCTTTTTATAAAATAGTATAGAAAAGAACTACATTAATTATGAAAGGCTCATTGACTTAGTAGCTACACAATTGCTTCATATAAATTTACTGACCTTGAACTCTGATTCTGGGTTTTATGGCTTTGGATCTGATGCTTCTAATCACTGATCACCCTCTACCCCCAAAGGAGATGCAAGAGGATGCTTCCACTATTATTGTGGGTATATGGCAGTTGCTCCATTTTATAATTTAAAAATTTATAGAAAAGTAAATCTTACCAAAAAAGCTTATGTATAATACCTACATTTCTTAAGTAAACATTTCTTTAATTTTATAATAATATTGCTTTACTTTACAGCAATTGTGCAGCTCATTTATCAGCTAAAACATATTGTCCTGGGATGCAATCAATTCGTTTTCCTTAATAACAGATGCTTTACTACCCAGATTGAAATGACATACAAATATTGATTAAACATGTTCTCCCAAGTGTAAAATACATGATCAAGGAATATACTTTAAAAAATATGACTAGAGCGGAGCACATGCCTATGTAACAAACCTCCATATCCTTTAAATGTACCCCTGAACTTTAAATAAAAGTTGGAAATAAATAAAAATAGTAATAATTTAAAATATGTGTAAGAAAAAGATATGCTCAGAAATACCTTGAGTAAGTAAACCCATCCACTTACCACTACTATTGGTAGTACCATTACTGGGTTGAAATGCAGAAATATAAAAAACCCTTTTAAAGAATAACATTTCAATTTCAGAAATAACAATATTTTCTAAAAAGGTCAGATCATCTTCAGATAAACCTTTTCTGCTATTTTGGTTTTGAAATAAATGGTTATGACAATAAAGCAACAAAGTGCCAGGCAGTTCTGAAGATCCAAAGGACTGTCTCCCCAAAGTGATTTTATAAATCATCTGCATGAAAGGTTCATGCTTTTTCCAACAGAAAAAAAAAGCCTACATAATTGTTTGGCTCCAACAAATGCTTTAAAAAGCCTTCATAATTTATAATTCATTTCAATTTAATAAGTATTCATTGAGCCCCTAAGTGCTATACTCTGAAATACAACTGTGACAGAATCTCTGTTCTGCAGAACTTGCATACACAAAATGTTCTACCCAACACTAGCATCCCAGGAGATGTTAAAAATGCTTTCATCCTAGAAATGTAGCATAATCTCCCTATTGGAATTCAAAACTTAATTTGGCATATTAAAGGCTGCATCAAGTCCTGCAACAAAGAAACCCAACTTTCCACATACTTGATTAATAAGCAAAACTTTCTTCCCTAAACATCCAAGCCCCTTATCCACCTAGCTCGACCCCCACACAAATACCTTCAACTGCACTCTAATTGGCTTTCTAGATTACTTTGTCTACCCCTTTCTTCTTTGAATCCAAACTGCCAATTCTCTATTTGAGATTAATTTCAACATCTGCTTTTTTTGCAGTGCAGCTGCCAAGCACTTTGGAGCAAAGTACATAATGATGCCAACTAGCTTTTTGTTAATCAATGTTTTCTAGACTTAACCAGGTACCTAATGATGATTAATAATACTTTCAGTTGTTCCCTTCCTCCTTGCTGTGACAGCTGGAGCTATAAAATGTCCTACATTTTATAGCTCTCTCTTTCTCTCTCTCTCTAACACATCCCCCATGAAGGTGAGGATGTAGGGGTTTTACCCCATCCACTTTTAAAAACTATTGCACATTGCCACTGGATAATTTGCACTTATTGTTTTATCATTAAACTTTTGGTAATAATGACGTTTTAAGAAATTTTTAACTTTTAAACAATTTGTGAAATTCTGAAGACAATACAAAGTTCATTTCACACTGATTCTCACACATTCTTGTTCATTAGACTAGACATCCTTTATATACCTGCATCCAAGGCAGGAATGAATGTGCAACCCTGAAATAATTTCAACAAATTAGGAGCCAATTCTTAACTCTGCTCTTTTCCTGTAATCATGGCATTATACCTTGTAATCTAGATCATTAAACATAATCTCACATTGAGATTAATTTTTATATCATTAAAGAGAATACATAATATCCTAGGCTGAAGATGTGCAATGGTATTACTTCATTAGGAGCCATATTTCAGCAAGGAATGCCCCTATTTGTTTTGGCCACCCATTCAGATATTTCTGACAGCAAAAGTTGGAAACTATTTTAGTGACCATGCTCTGGTGGTATCTTCAGTGGCTTGGGATTGGAGAAGGGCTGAGTGGACCAGATTCTATTGGCTGTAGGAGTCCAGGGGAATCTCCTGGCATAAACCCCCAGGGATTTTGTGTCTGGGTTAGTTCCCTAGTAACCTTCCTTTTTTTTTTCATATGATCCCCAAGGGCTAGTTTCCCTTTGTACTGTTAGGACCTACTGCTTTGCCTGTACCTTTCCATCACTGAAGGTTTTTAAAGATTTTTACTGCTGGTTTTTATAGAGAAACAGACACACTAGGGCAAAAAGACAGTAAAAATCAGATTATCTGTATAAGTAAATTGATTCTCTGAGCTCTTTCTTAACTCTGTTTTTCCTGGGGAACTTCCCTTTCTTTTTTATAATAAATCCAGCATGATAAGGCAAAAGTTATCAGGATTGAAGTTATATTCATCTATATCTGAGAGAAAAAGCAAACTGGTCTTACTCCCTCTTCACAGCATGAGAAGGTGGCTACCACTACACTGTTCACCCAAACCTCTCTCCAAGCAGGACTGAGGGAGGACATGAGGCAGGGAGACCGCCTTTCTTAGAAGTTAAACAAAGACAAACACAACTCTCCTTAATTAAATCCAGAAGAAAACATTATTCTCTTATTGGTAATTGGATAAACTTTTTTGAGAGAAATGCCATTTCTTCACAATTTCATTAAGAACATGCACTGCTTTTTAGAAAAATAAGCCAAACAAATACTATTTTTACATGCTGGCTTCTTTGTTTTTCTCCTTTAATCTTTACATGTTCAACTTTTCCCATCATTGACTTTATTCTTTTCATTTCTTCTCATTTTTCTCATTGTCTTAAGTGCACAAATCTTCCACCTTCAAAATTCCTTCTACACAATCCCTCAATCATGCAAATGCTCTCATTTTTAAGGTACATTTAATTCTCTCAACACCCCTTTCATCGTGGTAAACAAAAAAATGTCTTACGATGGCAAGGCATCTTTGATCTTCATGTGAGAAATGTCGTTGTAGAGAGCAATGGAAACAACCTCTTCCATGGGGCATATGAGGCCATACTCCTCACACCCATTTTCAATAACCAGAGGATCGGACTTATGAGGGTCAAACATGATGTTGTTAGGAGTGACAATCATGACACCGCCAACCACACCCTGCAGGAGAAAGCAACAGGACAGAATCACTTCAGGCAGAAATGCTTTCAGCAACTACCACAGAAGCTTTAACTCATACGTCCATTCCATGGACTTTGTGAACTACGGTATCCTATGTGACAATTACATCCCCTCCATGAGGACCAGAAAAACAGGCTGAAGAAATGCAATGCTAGTGGTGAGGCAGAGAGAGAGAGGTGGTGTGGCTCACTAAGGCAACCGACTGAGCCTGGTTCTAGCACAGCTGCTGCAACAGCACAGCTCTGGAGTGATCCCAGTTCTCACGTGCATGTCTCAGACTTCCTAGATTTTCTAGTTTCTCTGTCTGCAAAATGGGATGGGCAGTCTGAGTACCTTCCAGATTGAGAATACAGGGCTTTAGGATTCACTCTGCAAGTCTTCACCCTATGTCTAACAAGTGCACAGTTCTGTGCTAAGGGAATAGCTGTTTCAGAGTCATAGTACCAAAGAATAGTCCCAATATTTTTCTTTAAAATATTTAGAAAGCCCACATCCAAAAAAAAGTGAACATAAATAGGAATATGAAACTTTTGTAGCCAGAGTGAATACAGCTGACCTACAGAGATTAAAAGCAAAAAGTTGTAGCTTGGTGAAGACTTTAAAGTCTGAAGCTTGCTCAAATTATAAAACAGACCTTAATGGCCACAGGGATATTATCTATGATGAACAGCAGGATACAGATAACTTCCTTTAGACAAATAATTTATTTTGGTACTTTTAATGAGTCTAGTGATTATCTTAGTAAAAAGTCTGTAGATCCAGCAATACCATCACTGGAAATATATCCAAAGAAAATGAAATCATGTTTCAAAGAGATACCTGCACTTGCATGTTTATTTGCCGCACTATTCACAATAACCAAGATATGAAAACAACCTAAGCATCCATCAATAGATGAACAAAGAAAATGTGCTATATATACACACATTATTCAGCCATAAGAGAATGAAATCCTTTCATTTGTGACAACATGGATGAACCTGGAGAACATTATGTTAAACGACATAAGCCAAACACACAAAGGTAAATACTGCATGATCTCACTCATATATGAAATCTGAAAAACCTGATCTCATATAAGTAGAGAGTAGAATGCTAATGACCAAGAGGTGTGGGTGAGCCGGGTGCAGTGGCTCACACCTGTAATCCCAGCACTTTGGGAGGCAAGACAGGTAGATCACCTGAGGTCAGGAGTCCGAGACTAGTCTGGCCAAAATGGTGAAACCCTGTCTCAACTAAAACTATAAAATTAGCTTGGTGTGGTGGCACATGCCTGTAGTCCCCAGCTACTCAGGAGGCTGAGAGAGGAGAATAACTTGAACCCGGGAGGCATAGGCTGCAGTGAGCAGAGATCTTGCCATTGCACTCCAGCCTGGGTGACAAGAGTGAAACTCCATCTCAAAAAAAAAAAAAAAAAAAATAGGCGTGGGTGGTTAGGGGAAAGAGAAGAATGAGGAGATAGATATTGGTCAAAGGACATTTACTTATAGTTAGATAGGAGGAATAATAAAATATCCAGAATAGGCAAATATAGAAAGACTCAAAGTAGGTAAGAGATTGCCTCATGGAGATGCGGGTGGCAGGTAAGGGGAAAGGATAGGGTGGGGAGTGTGAGATGGGAAATAACTACTAATAGTTATGGAGTTTCTTTTTTGGGTAATAAAGATGTTTTAAACTGGATTGTGGTGTTGGTTGCACAATTATGTAATCACTGGATTTTATACTCTAATTGAGTGAACTGTATGTTACATGAATCACATCTCAATAAAGCTGTTTTTTAAAAAAGTTATTTATGTCAAGCATTATTTATTCTTATTTGCAAAAGTTGTAAGTACACATCAATAACACATTTTTCCTATTATCTAAAACTAATATGAAGTCTGCTATGACCATTGGAATTCACTGGTTATCAAGAGAGTCCCTTCTCCAGAGGCTCACTAAAAGCTGAATTTGTTCTTTGTGGAAACAAAAAAACAAAAAGACACACAAAACAACCAACAACTAAAACACTAAAAACAGGATACAGCAGATGTTAATACTAATGTCATCAACAGCAAACACAGGTTGAGAGGTTACTATTTGCCAGAGTAGGTGCTAAATTCTTTATGTAAATTATCACTTTTCCTTACCATACTCTATTAGTTAAAATTTTTTATTGTTCCTATTGTATGCATGAGAAAAATGGAAGCTTAAGACATGTAAATACTTTGCCCCCAGTCTCAGAGTTACTGGGTGGTAGAGGTGGAGTTTAAATTCAGTGAGTCTGACTCTAGCGTATGCTGTTATCTGTATACTACACTGTCTCCCTAACAATTCATAGGCCCAAACTAAAAGATAAAACAATAAATCCAAGGTCACAAAGAATCACATTTCCACTCAGTGATCACATTTCCCTCAATAAGTAAAATGCAGGCATCCAAAAGAGAAAAACTAATGAATTATTGCCAAATCTAAAATAGATACTTTGGGTAAGATATTTTAATGTAACCTCTGTTCCAGTGATGTATAACCTTGTTTAGTTTCTCATAGATTTCAAGGAAAGGAAACAAATTACATTGCCATATACCTTTCCATCGGTGAAGTATCGACAATTCATTTTTAAAAATTTCACCACACCTGGCTCATCTTCTTCAGAAGTAGATGATAACACTCTTTCAATGGGTTTTAAGGCCTTTCGTGCTAAGTCAGCATCCTTGTAAAAGCAAAAAATTTCAAAATCAAATAAAAGCACTTTTCAAACAAATTATGTGTATAAATCAAGCCACATAAATTCCCTATGAGTATACTATTTTTATTTAAATAGAACATTAATAAGGTAAACGTCCTTTGTCTTTCAAAAATATCACAAATGTAATAACAGATATCTAAATCGAACTAAGTTTTTTAAAGCAAAGACAAATGTATGAACCCATAAAACTGGCTCATGAAATGTCTTTAGAAACTAACCTAAATGGGCCAGGCATGGTGGCCGACACCTATAATCCCAGCACTTTGGGAGGCTGAGGTGGGAGGCTGAGGATCACCTGAGGTCAGAAGTTTGAGACCAGCCTGACTAACATAGTGAAACCCCATCGCTACTAAAAATACAAAAATTAGCCATACGTAGTGGCAGGCGCTTGTAATCCCAGCTACTTGGGAGGCTGAGGCAGGGAAATTGCTTGAACCTGGGAGGCAGAAGTTGCAGTGAGCCAAGATTGTGCCATTGCACTCCAGCCTGGGTGACAGAGCGAGACTCTGTCTCAACAGAAAAAGGAAGGGAGGGAGGGAGGGAGGGAGGAAGGAAGGAAGGAAACCTAAAAGGAAAAATTCTTATTACACTCATGATTCAATTTCTTTTATTTTTTTTTTAAATAAAGGAAGAATACAAATAAACTATTCATGTCATTTGGAATTTAACTTAATACTTTTACAAAAGGCATGCATTTTTACCTTTTTTTTTGAGACAGGATTTCACTCTGTCACCTAGGCTAGAGTGCAGTGGTATAATCATGGTTCACCACAGCCTCAACTTCCCAGGCTCATGATCCTCCTATCTCAGCCTCCTGAGTAGCCAGGACTATAAGTGTGAGCCACCATGTCTGGCTAATTTTTAAAATATTTTCTGTCACTATATTGCCCAGGCTAGTCTCAAACTCTCAGGCTCAGGCAGTCCTCCTGCCTCAGCGTCTCAGAGTGCTGGGACTACAGGCGTGAGCCACTGTGCTTGACCATTTTTGCATCTGAAACTCTAAATGTGAATAAATTTCCCTTGGAGAGGATGCATTCTCCAATTACCTAATCTCAACCATCTAGGGAGAATTTCAGATGCAATGTTGTGAAAATAACATGCTGAATTCTACAACTCACAAAACATCTCTTTAATAAAAATGAACTTCACTGCATAATATACATACAGGCAGTTTATCATATTCTGCATCTGATGATGAAGGAGAAACAGTAGCACCAGGACTGGATGATGACAGCCTTAAGGTACTGGAAGGAGAGTTGGCATCTGGCACAAAAAGGACCTAAGAATGGGAGAGAAGAGATGGGTGAGTACCAGGAACCAAGCAAACCACTAGTGAGTGTTTAGAGAAGTTTTCTCTGTACAGTACCTTGTTCAGTGCATGATTACAACCTAGGTTGCTTTCAAGGAACTCATAAGCAACTTATGGTGTTTTAGACTAATCCATGAAATGATACTCAGCATATGAATATGTATAGTACAAAGGGTACAAACATGCCTGTAGACATTGAAAGAACTCAAAAAGAAAGGGAAAGCAAGGCTTGGAGCTGTGGCTCATGCCTGCAATCCCAACACTTTGGAAGGCCGAGGCAGGCAGATAACCTGAGGTCAAGAGTGAGACCAGTCTGGCCAACGTGGTGAAACCTCGTCTACTAAAAATACAAAAAAAATTAGCTGGGTGTGGTGGTACGCGCCTGTAGTCCCAGCTACTCAGGGAGGCTGAGGCAGGAGAATCACTTGAACCTAGGAGGCAGAGGCTGCATTGAGCCAAGATTGTGGCACTGCACTGCAGTCTGGGCAGCAGAGGGAGACTCCATCTCAAAGCAAAGAGAGAAAGAAGGAAGTTAGGAAGGGAGGGAGGAAGGAAGGGAAAAGAAAAGGAGAGGGAAGGGGAGGGGAGGGGAAGAAATAAAAGAGAAAGAGAAGAAGAAAAAGAAAAAGAAAGGGAGAGCAAGGTGGGTGAGTAAGTATTCTGGGAAGGCCAAGAGAAGCAAGTGGGTCCAAGTGAAGCCTTGAAGAAGTAGAGATTGGATAGGAGAGAGGGGAGAGCCCTCCATGGTAGGAGACTAATAGTATAAGGGAAATGAGGAGAGAGAAGCATGGCTTTTAAACTTAATATCTGTGCCAGGTAGAAATGGAACAAACCCAGCTTGCTAACTCCAAGCAGGCTCTGGGTTATAAAATAGTATGGTCCTTATATGCTAAACTATATAAGTTAATACCAATACGATGACCCCAATATTTTCTTTTCCATCAGTGTCTGGGTTACGTAAAACTAAAAATACCCCCCAGAATTATACAGAATAGCAACCTTCTCCAAAATATTCTGGTTCTCAAAACATTATTACAATCCTGTCATTCAACACTCTTTTAATGAGACATGCTACGTTGTGGCATGTATCAAATATAATCTTTTGTTTGTTTTTGAGATGGAGTTTCACTCTTATTGCCCAGGCTGGAGTGCAGTGGCGCAATCTCAGCTCACTGCAACCTCCACCTCCCACATTCAAGAGATCCTCCTGCCTCAGACTCCCAAGTAGCTGGGATTACAAGTGCCCACCACCAAATCTGGCTAATTTTGGCATTTTTAATAGAAATGATATTTCATCATGTTGGTCAGGTGGTCTTGAACTCCTGACCTCAAGCGATCCGCATGTCTCCGCCTCCAAAGTGCTGGGATTAACGGCATGAGCCACTGTGCCCAGCCAAATATAATCTTGAAATGACAACTTTTAATGTTATATAACAATTCAGAGCTAATCATAACAACTGATCACTGATCAATATTGTTATTCAGTGTCTCCTATCTTTGCAGTCATATTTCTGTTTTAAGTTATTTAAACCTCACTTCAATCCACAAAATATTTGAGACAACAATAAAAAACATATTAAAATAAGAGTCAAGGGGATGTAAGATGAAGACTGATTACTACTAAAAATATGTGCTCCAAAACTACTAACCACTCGTTAAGGAGTGTGCCATAAATCTGACTCTGAGTTTCCATACAATTAATGCAAAGAGACAATATCATTAGTTAGCAGAATTCAATTTTACAAGATAAAAATGAGCCCGTTTCTCAGAAGTACAAGTACTCTCCTATGGAATCTCATACAAATGAAGATCCTAGACTGAACTATTTGTCCTCTATGATGCAGTAACAATAAACACAATAACCAGTTTTGGAGGATTGTTCTAACATCTTCTATATGGCTCAATGGCAAATGCCGAAGTTTAGAGTTCTGTGAAAAGCAATTTACAAAGGACTAAAATTTGGTGGTCTTGGTATACAGCTCTTATTTATCTTATACAGCTAAACTACAGTAATGAATGGATGGCATTTTTTCCCAAACAATTATCCACGAATATTAATTTTTTTTTGCATATGAACTCTTAAAAGTATTAGGTAACATAGATTTCGGTTCCATTGTTTGAACATTCCAAATGTCGAATCTAAGGAGTAATTCCTGTGCTTAAACAGTTGACTGCACTGTAGTGGGAGGTTAGCAGCAGCCAGAAAATGTGCGACCTCAACATGGAAATGAGACTGGATCACAGGCAGGGTGAAAGTTTCCTGCTGCCTTCAGAAAATAATTTCGTGTTTGCTCCAACACATAGGCAAATGAGGATTTGAGGTCTTAAAAGGTCTTAGCCATGCAGCAATGCTGTTATGTTAGTCTAGAAAAAAGATTTTAAGCACGTGTAGCCAAGGTATCTTGTGAATATGAAAAGATCATAAAGTTGAGCTGGATACAGTGGCTCACACCCGTAATCCCAGCTACTTGGGAGGCTGAGGTGGGAGGATTCCTTGAGCCAGGGGGATTGAAGCTGCAGTGAGCCATGATGGTGTCATTGCACTCCAGCCTGGGCAACAGAGTGAGACCCTGTCTCAAAAAATAAACAAACAAAAATAAGGGAGAGAAAATATTGAACCAAAGCACATTATCACTTATGATAATCCCCTGACAAACAACAGTGAGGCACTGAAAATGGCAATAAAAGATAAATGCAGATTTTCTAGAGCTATATCCAATAAGAGTATAATTACCTGGCCTGGAACAATAGTATGTGTGAAAAGTTTATTCAGTTCCACCAATTTATTGGGAGTGATGTTAAATTTCAGTGCTATGGAGTTTAGGGTGTCCTGGCTTCCAGCCTAGAATAATCAAACAAATAAGGGTCAATAAAGCAAAAAAATTAATTTTGATATATACTATTAATTTATCTGCAATATGAATAAATGATTACTAGTTTCATCAAGACAGACTAGAAGAAAGAGTTGATACACTGTCAATTCTTAATAAAGTCATTTTAATGCAAAGTCTTAAGTGCAATTTATTTCTGGGCGTCCTCATTTTCAAAATTCACTGTCAACTAATAGATTTCTAATTTTACTTTGATGCAACTTAGGTGTATGAAGTAAAGGTCCATGAACTATAATAAAGACTAAAACAAGAAAAGAAATACAATATACACACAGTCCCTACACTCAGGGGAAATGGGGCTAGTTTCTCTCTTGTGATATTCTGTCTAGTTGCGTGACATTTTCCTTTACTATAAACTGCTGATTTGTATCATAAAGGTGGCAAAATGTTTCCTCCTGGGCTCAGCGCACTGCTTGATACATGGAGGGTACACACAAAGTCGATGAATGAATACTGTGAAAGCAAGGAAATCAAAAAGAAATTCAGATCTGCTACCAATAACTGTTCACGATCATTAAAACCACAATTTTTTATGGTCAAATTAGTGTTATTCTCTAAATCCATAAAACTTGGAACATATGACCCAGGTGTACACTTTTCTTTCCTTCTATAGTAGAGGAACAGAAATAGAGGACAGTGAGAAGATGAGAAACTTCATAGAAAAATAGCTCTTCCCAGAAAAAAAGTTAGCTCCCTGATGTCATGTCAACATCTCAGGACAAACTCCTTGACCAGAGTTGCCAGATAGACTTGCTAGTAGGAGGTCACTCTGATGAAAGTCACTGAGAAGTTCCCATCGATAACTCTGGGTCAAGACTGGTGTAAGTTCTTTGTAAGCAGAACTGGCTCCACCAGATGAGCCTTGAATTATGTGACAAGGTGAAGAGGCTGGAGGAAGATGTTGACTGGTGAAAGAGTAGAGATGTAGAAGGAGAATTAAACCTATAGCTGCTTTCAGTATCAAAGGTCCACCTACTAGATGAACTGTCTCAGACTAATCAAAGGTTACGGTTACAGATTACACTGAAACAGCCTCAAAGCCTTTCTAGAAAAAGTATATATTAAATGTAGTATGTATAATTTTTTAAATCACTAAAGTAAACAACATATGCCACTACTTCTACCCTAGGCAAAACCAACTCTATTAAAAACAAAGTTAAAAATATTTTTAATACTGTATTATATATTTATATAATACTTTTATGAATAAACATGTAAAACATACTCTGTATGGGGGTTCAGAGAGGGAGAAAAACTTTAACAATCAGTAGTTATTAAAGATAAGACATATATATAGAATTAGGGCACAGACCCTAAGAGGAATGTTGGTATTATTAAATGACTGAAACTAAACCAGAATGCTTGATCATCCACAGTTCAGGAGTAATAAAAGCAATCTGGTAAGTGCTAGCAGGTTCCCTAAACACAAAATTGAGTTACCTTTTATTTCCAATGACAAGCACAAAGATCAGTTGCCAAACAGCACTAATCTCCATAACATAAAACAAAGAGGTAGGCCTACCTGCATTACTGATTTGATCACTTGTTTGTATTTAATTAATCTGGAGGTTGACTTTTCTTTTTTTATTGTCACTTCACTGTTCAGTATATACTGTAGGAAGTAACTCCTGGCAAAACCACCTCTCAATTCTTTGGAGGGGCATGTGAATAAAGTTGCTAGACAAATACATACAGATCATAAGGATTATGGCTTTATAAGTAACATTATTATTAATAATAAATGAGTCCAACACTTTTCAAGTGCCTATTTTGAGGTAAGGCACTATTCTAGGAGTTATGAGAATCAATACTATATTTCAGAAAATGGTAATATAAAATACAATCATCATAAATACTTTCTGAAAATGACTGTGCTTATAAACTTTAGAAAGATGCCTAGAAGTGTTCACAGAGTACTGATCATGAAAGCCTGTGCCAGAGACCTTCAATGTGACTCTGCAGAGGCTTGCATAAGATTTACCATTCCAAAAGAAACACCAGCAAAGAATTAGATCCTTCTACCTGTTTAATATAGGGTCTGGCCTTGCTTACAAATAATAACTACAAAATAAGCACACATTAGGAAAATACACCAAGCAACAGCAATAGCACTTAATTTCTTCTTAGAAGTCAAAGAGAACACTCCTCAAGAGCGCTAATTAATAGTGAATTAAAATAGATCTACAGCTGAGTACATACTTTGTGTCAAACCTAAGATACATAAGATACAACTCCTGGCCTGCAGGAGCTCATGATGCAGTGACAGAGATAAGCACATGGCACACAGTGCAGAGATGTAGTAATGAACACACACCTAGCATTGTTCACCTATTGCTCAACAATATGGGGACCTATACCCTGCCGGTCACCAGGAATACAATGGTGAACAAAGAGAGGTCTAGTCTTTCTTCACGAATGTATAAATTAAAGCGTGAGATAGAGATTAAAATAACAACACACTAATGAATCAATAATGTTAAATTATGTAAAGCAACATGATTCTATGAGAATATTAAAAAAGGGATCTGGCCTGGACTAGCTGGATAATCTCAGAATGTTGTAATGAACATGGAGAGTAAGGGGATGGAAATGTTCAGAATCAAGTTCTAGCCTGCATAAATGTAGGAATGATGGAGTCATTGTTTCTTGAAAGAGGACCAAACATGGAGGAGTAAGTGGATATGCTGAGTAGGCAAATGAGTACATAGCTTTGGAACTTAGAAAGGGTGTCTAGGTTGGTGACCTAAAAGTGGTAGTCACTGTTAGATCAAAGATAATTCAAGTTATCAGTTTGTTTGGGGGTTCTAACAGGGCAACACAGATGTTAGAATACCCTTGACCAAAAAACAGTCCTCCTCTATTGGGGAAGCCCATCCTCTTCATCCAGGCTCCAAAGAGATGCACATGGAGTGGTGAGGGAAGAAGGCCTCGTCAGCCAGATCAGCCTAAGCAATGCTGGTGATCAACAGGGTGACGGATGTTGATCACCCTCACATTCTCAAATCACTGGTTTATTTCAGATTCACTGGGGAGAAAATATGGAGGAAAAAGAAATGTCCTAAAACTGGTCATAAGAAGCTTCATTATTTAATGAGTACACAAGAGAAATGCCGCCAAGGAGCAGGATGTGTCAGGAAAAAGCATTATCTAAATCTAGTGCTTTTAACAAACATTTATACCACCTTGGTTATACTTACAGTGTATTCCATGGTCCCTTTTGGCTTCTGAACCACCATCTTCTTCTCTTTTTTATCATGTGTTTTGTTTTGACTGTCATCTGAAGATGTAAATGAATAATTTCATTTCCAGGGATTGAAGACAAGGTAAAACTACCACATATAAAAACTCACTTTCAAGTCAACTGACAAAAGACAGTAATCAGAAAATGGACTAAGGGTACAAATAGATCACACTCATAGAAGCACACTATTCATAAATGAAGACCTGAATAAATGATTAATATTAACTATAAATAAACAATATAAATAAAAACAATCAGGTAAGATGTATCGTTACTAATGGTTTAAATGATAATGTATAATGATTATGAAGTTAGAGTAAAACCAGTTGAGTCACCATATAAATGATGCCTAATGTAAATGAGTATAGTGCTTTTAGAAAGTAATTTGGCAATATGTAACAATAGCCATTAAAAGGTTCATTCTCTGACTCAGTAATTCTTCTCTTAGGAATTTATCCTAATGACAAATCTGAAAGAAGAAAAAGGCTATATATCAGCATATGGTCACCGCAATACTATTTAACACAATGAAAACAAAAAGAACAATGAACAATATGTCCAACAACATATTAAGTTGGACCATGGATTTTGATGTTTTTTTTTTTGACAGTCTCGCTCTGTCATCCAAGCTGGAGTGCGGTAGTGTGATCCTGGTGTGCTTCAACCTCTGTCTCCCAGGTTCAAGCAGTTCTTCTGCCTCAGCCTCCAGAGTAGCTGGGATTACAAGCATGTGCCATCATGGCCTGCTAATTTTTGTATTATTAGTAGAGATGGGGTTTCACCATGGTGGCCAGGCTGATCTCTAACTCCTGACCTCAGGTGATCTGCCCACCTTGGCCTCCCGAAGTGCTGGGATTACAGGCGTCAGCTACTGCACCTGGTCAGATTTTGTTGTTTTTATAGGTCAAAAATTGTTAGAGTTAAATACATCTCCATATATTAATTGAGATATCAAAAACCCCAGAACTATACTGCAATAGATAAAAATGTGACAAAAAGAATATAAAATTGAATTAATAATGAAAAGATGCTCCAACCTGCATGTGATCAGAAAAATGCAAATGAAAACAATGTATCATTTTATACAGATTAGTCGGGTAAAATCAGAAAGCTGTATAATTCCAATCTTGATAGAAATGTGAACCACTACAAGAAATGTAAACTTTTCAGTCATTCCAGAGAATTAAGTATATATAGCTCATATGACATAACAATTTAACTCACAGATAAGCATCCTCTTCCAAGAGGTATATACATTATGTATACCATAAGGGACCTGCTGGAGGATGTTTATCACAGTATTACCTATGGCAGTGAAGAGCAGGGGGGTAAGTAAAGCATGGTAGAGAAGCTCTGGGATTTCAGGCAGCAATTAGAAATAACGAGTCAGAAACAGACACCACAAGTGTAAACAGGTTTACATCAAGAAAAACTGAATGGGATGTTAGTGTCCATCTGTTTTAAACATACATCACAGATGGACACTAAAGAAAAACACACAAATAATTTTCAAAGGTACATAAAAATAAAAACTTATACACATTGAAGACAATAGCATGGTGTAAAGTAGGGGAAGAAATGGGAGCGGAGAATTAAAAAAATGGGAATGAATGATAAATGACAAGAAGCCCAGCTTGGACCAAATGGTAAACCATGAACTGAGAAGGTGATTAACTCAGCCCTCTACACCTGAGGTCACAGACATACACACACACACACACACACACACAGAGAGAGAGAGAGAGAGAGAGAGAGAGAGAGAGAGAGAGAGAGAGAAATGTATCAACGATATCATTTCATCTATATCACAAACTTGGGGGTCCTAGATGAAAACTAAGGGGTGACATAGAAACATGAACATAGTTAATTCAAACAAGATTTATCTGACTTTGAAATATTTCCCTTCTATTATTTAAAAATTAAAATCAAGAAAAATAAACTTAAATAGACATTTCCATTACAGTCCTGTTCTGTCATCTATATCTTCAAATCAGGACCATTCATGGAGCCATCAAAGAGGTCCTGAAAATTCCTCTAGACTGAAAAATGACCTCCCTACCTACAGGCGGCCACATCTAAATTACTTCAGGAAGATGGGACTACTTTAGGAGATTAAAAAACCCAATCACCATATTTTACAAATCATATGGCAGGACAAATGTAAAAACTGGTTTTCGTGGTTCTTGGCAGGTAAGCAATAAAACATTAACAGCACTTGGCTTTCTTTCCTTCTAAAGAATCTGAAACATTTTAATTGTTTGCTTTTGCTTTGTTTCCATGGAAGATGAATACCCCGGGCGAATTCTTCTCATGGTTCCTTTTGGCATTTGGTTAAGTGTTGTTCATTCCTTTTAATATCTCAGCTCCATTTTCTTTGTTGCAAACTTCTGCCCCTTTGCTGTCATCATAAACAGCTGTCACTTTAGGTCTTTGTGCTTTCAGAGTAGTCTCTTTATATCATTTCGTAGGTAGCTTCCTATTTCTAGAGCCAACAACATGTTTCCTTCTTCCCACACCTGGCAGCTTCCGGCCAAGGCCCTTCCATGAGCTGTAGACAGTTATCTCTGGTCCCAATGGGGAGTGTGACTGAAAGCCACCAACTGGTGAGAGTTTACATATTGCCTAGCTACAAAGAAAAATGCATGTTGTCTGAGTCTTTCAGAATAAACTGAAATGTACAGCTGAACTAGTGTGAAAATTAAATTACCTTCTATTGCCACAGGTAGGTAGGCTAGAAAAATGTCAAGTCTGTAATATTACTAAAGGAGAAAAACATTTCCTTCAGAGTGTAAGATTTTGAAACCATGGAGATAAAGACAATGACACACCCATCCTTAAATGTCTTGTGCCTTTTTTTTTTTTTGAGACATGGACTTGTTCTATCACCCAGGGTGGGGTGCTGTGGCACTAACATGGCTCACTGCAACCTCCACCTCCCCGACTCAAGCAATTCTTCTACCTCAGCCTTCGAGTAGCTGGGATTACAGGTGCACACCACCAGGCCAGGTTAATTTTTGCATTTTTTTTTTTTTGTAGAGATGGGGCTTCACCATTTTGCTCAGGCTGTTCTCAAATTCCTGGGATCAAGCGATTCGCTCACCTTGGCCTCCAAAAGTGGTGGGGTTGATTATAGGGTGAGCCACTGCATCTGGCCCTGTTTTGTGTCTTAATATAATACCTGGTATATATAGTTGAATCAACCTTCCAGAATAGATTAATAAGCCTGATGAGTTTGATTGTGAGGCAACACTTTTCACTGATGTAGCATCACACCAGGCAAATCATACGCACCTGCCAAAGCCACAAGGCAAATACTATGTTTTACAGTTGGTTCAACAGAGAAGCAAAGAGGATCTAATTTAATTGTCTTTATATCATTATAGCTCAAGGTCAGGTTTCATATTGCTTCCGAAATAACTATTTTGCAGTGAGTTGAAAAGATGGTCAACTATGTGTCTCGGTAAGTGAAGTTCTGTGTGTCTTGCCAAGACAGGTTCTTCAGCACATAGTCCACAAAGCTCTGGAGGGGCTTCTGGCCCTGCAAAGCTCTGGAGGGGCTTCTGGCCCTGGTGAGATCTAGGACAAGACATGAGCTGCCCTGGGAAAGGGCCACTCCAGTGTGCTTTATGATGGTGCTCCAACCCTGGTGTTTCAGGTAAGGATTCATGCCCATCCCAAATGGTGCAACTATCTACCAATGACACTGATCTTTCCAGCTTCAGGCCTCCTCACATACCTTTCTACCTACCCAAATTCTGACCCTCCCTCTGTGTACAAGAACCTGAGGCAAATGGCATAAAAGTATCTACTGCCAAGGGTAAAGTTGGCCAAGTGTCCCTTAGAATCCATTTAGAGCAAAGCAACTGAACCTCATACCTGCCCACCTCTGAAACAAAGTCTTCAGAGCAGGTTTTTGCCAGTCCAATAAGGAGTAACTATAATGAAACTGACAAAAACCCTAGAGAAATAAAACACAGGCCCTTCAGCCTAGTCCATCTCTTTCTGCATAAATCCTGGAGGTAGGAGCTAGAATGGGGAGGAAGAATGGGGTACCTGTGTTGACCTCAACCCAAGTGGAGCTTGGTGCCTTGCCCTAAGTCTTGCCACCTCCCTTATACCATAAAAGGGCATGGAGTGTCCAGAACTCAAGGCTCTGGGCTCCTCCATCTGATGCAATCCCCAATACAAATTTACAGAAAGAAGACTCTGCTCTCTCCATGCACTGGGGCAAAAAGAAGATGCTACCTAGTAGTATGCCTGAGGTCTGGGGGGGCATGATGGCCAGATGTCACATCTTGTATCCCTCGTAGTGGTGATACTGAAGTCTTGGATGAGGCTAAGACATCAAGAGAATAAATTTAACAGGAGGCCTGAAGTTTTTTAACAGAAGCTAAGGAAGGCTTAGATATAAGGAGTGAAAAAAATATGGCTGATATAAAAGGGAGAAAAGCAATTAGAGGGATGGGAAAAATGAATGCAATGTCACAGAGGCCATGGAAAAAAGGGAGGTGGTGTTAACACTGTCAAATGCTGCACAGAGGCCCAGAGATGGAAACCTGGAAATGGATGACTGAAATTCACAGAGAGGTTTTAGAAGTAAAGGGAGCTCAAGACAGATGCTGTCACATCATCAGTAGAGTAGGGGTAAGGTCATCTGAAAAAATGTAGTGGAGTGAAGACAAGACTGAAGGAGTAGGAGCAATGAGATTTGGAAGAGTTACTATGGCAAAAATGAGATTTCAAAAATGTGAACATGAAGAAGCAATATTACACTCTGGGGTAGGGTCTCAATACCAGGATAACAGGTCGTGTAAGAAGTAAGCAAATAAATGGCCGCCTGTGTGATTATGAGGCACAGAGCACGGTAGCTGGAGCTGGATGAGCAGCAGCTAAGAGGTAGTGAGATGCTGGAAGAGTTAGGGGAATAGAATGATGAATTAGTTTCCTAATGCTGCTATAATAAATTACTACACATTTGTGGCTCAAAATAAAGCATAAACACAGATTCATTATTTTACAGTTCCATAGGTTATTAG